ATTGACAACTACAAAATGTTCTCCGAATTTATGTTGGTCGGAACTTTGGATGGCAAAGACCCAACTACAAAATTTCATTGGGAAAAATCACGTTAGAAATTCCGACGTTCAGCTATTTTTTTGACTTCAGATGCATTGGATTTTGTAGTACTGGTTTTGAATTATTTTCCGGGCCAGAAAGAGTTATGTTCTTCATTTTGTAGCTGAAAAAAAAGGTACATGCACTTGCATTTTGTAGTTGTGCACCCTATGCATTCCGCTCTGTATCTACCAAAACCATCTGCACAACTCCTCCCCCCTTATCTGAACCCCGATCCATTTTGAGCTTTCATGTAGTCAAAAGGCTTATTGAGGGTCCACCTTCAGAATATTCGGTAAAATTAGGGTCCACGAAATTCAGTATATCTATATATATCTATCTATATCTATTTATCTATCAATGTGTATGAATACGCATGTGTGCGCATGTATACACATGCATTTGCAGAATTACAGAGCGCACGCTACCAGGAGGAGGCAAGATCTCTTCTAATCGTTCGCTTCTGGAATCCACTGCGTCCGAACGCAAAAACCAACATGGTTGGTTGGTGGCATGATCGCAACCTCTCCAATCTTGAAAATCTGCCTAGGAGGTGACTCCGTCTAGAGCTGCAGTCTTTCGTGATGCGATTGCCGATCTTCTTGACATGGACCGATTGATTGAGTGGGGCGTTGGGTGCTCATATTGATGGCATGCAACGGCTGCTTCCAGCATGCCCATAGCGAGTTCTCCCATCAAAATGAGATTCAATTGCTTGGGTGATTTGAAAGTGATTGTTCATGCCTCCGTAAAAAAAATGTGAACGGCTACTCCTTGGGAAGATAAGACGATGCCGCTGCTTGAGTCAGACTGCTCGCGCGAAAGGTCGTTCCTATAAAGTTGCAATGGTAGTTGATTCTCTCTGAACTCAGAACTCTCACCAAGAAAGGATAAATTATCTTCTGGGAAGTCTCGAAGCAAGCGCATGTGAGCAACCACATGTACTTACGAGAATATAAAAATGTATTTCACGAGAAGCAGATATTCTGTGGATTCATCGGTCCATCGGTAGGAGCGGACTATAGGGTGACTTCAACAGTGAGCTATAGCAGCTAGGGTTTCAACATGTCTCAACATGTTTTAACACATCCCAACAGCCCAATATCATCCAGATGCCTGCAGGAGCTGCCCAATGGCCTGAGCTCCAGGGCCCGACTTGGCTTCCAGGCGGCGCAGGGAATCTTACGACGATATTCAAAGAATGTGGAGTCAGCCTATGTGTGTTCTATGAATCCATGCCATTCTATGCCCGCACATTGACACCGTGACATATAGACACTACACCTTGACGACATAGAAAATGATTCAATGATCTAAACTGATCTAAAATGTAAACATGTGTGTAAACTGTAAACAAGTCTTTTTCCCGTCGTGAAAAGGAAATTGTTTGCATACTGGAAATTGGCGACAGCACCTCTCAGCGGTAGGAGAGATTTCGCTATCGATCGTCTACTGGTTCGACTCTGCCATTTAAAGGCATAACCAGACTCGTGCAAGCCGAACTGACTCCGTCACCTGTGAAGGCTATCATGAATTATGTGGCTGGGGGCTACATCTACATCCGTTTGGATGCCAAGAAGCCATATTTCGCACAGAGTGTTGTTTCCCATCATGTTCGGCATACATTCACAGCCAAGTAGGCATGGTATCTCTACATTACTTTGAGCAATTGCAGGGACTGATCAGTACTGCCAGAAGTCTTTCCAACTACAGTATGTTCTGCTTCGCTGTAGTGCTCATTGGATTCATTGGTTTGTTGGGACTTCAGTAAGCCAATTGCCATTCCCACAGCGAATCCAACAAATGAGTGCACACTTTAGCTCTCCTTTTCTTGCTGCGATTTCTAGATATCAGTCGAGCTAGCCTGAGCTAGCGCCAGAATCTGACGTCTTGAGCCAAAGCAGGATTGGCCCCTGCCGATTTGTCCCGTTTCGTCATGTTGCAGACTCGCATTTCATTGGCCAAGGCAAGAACTATTCGACCCGCGTGAAGGTAATTCAGAGGAGTTGGCGCATTGCAAACAACAAGGCTGTTTGCACCTTCTGGCAGCATACTAATTCCATCTAATTCCTGTACATCTACATACATGCATTCATTAGTCTCTCTATCTCTCTCTCTTTCTCTCTCTCTCTCTTCTCCCACACAAATCTCTTCCTTTTGTTTATTTTTTTTCTCTCGCTTTCTCTCTCTCTCTCTCTATCTCTCTCTCTCTCTCTATCTCTCTCTCTCTAATATATATATATATATTTATTTATTCATTTACATTTATGTACACAATCACCACCCTTTTCGTGGGGTGTAAGCAAGGGGGCGTTCAAAAAATGCAAGCAACAATTTTGACCCTTGCGTATTTTTTCCCGATGGGGAAGGCTATATGTATCTTAGACCCCTCCTACGTCAAAAACCGTGCCCCGGAAGATTTACATTTAGGGAGGGGTGGTAAAAGTCCGTAAGAGATAGGTCACCCTGTACCCCCCTCTGAACCCCCCCCGTACTCTACGGTGGGGGGTGGGGTAAAGGCTGTTAAATGTCCGCAAGCAGTTTGTAAACTGTTTGTGAGATGTCTTTGTGGGGGTGTAATCAACCGATGTCTGAAGTCCATAGTTCTTTGCAGAAAGTGTTCGAAAAAGAAGGTAAAACTAAGATAGAACAATGTAACCATCTTACACTTGAGGTCCTTAATTCCTTGCAGAAAGTGCTCAAAAAAGAAGGTGGAGATAAGATAGAATCATGTAACCATCCTACACCTGAGGCCCTTAATTCCATGCAGGAATTGCTTAAACAGAAGGTAAAAATGAGATAGACACATGTAACCATACTACACCTGAGGCCTATAATTCCTTGCAGAAAGTGCTTAGAAAAGAAGGTAAATATAAGATTAAAAAAAAAACACCATCCTATATATACATAAGGTCCATTGTTCCTTGCAGAAAGTGCTCGAAAAAGAAGGTAAAGCTAAGATGGAAAAATGTAACCATCCTACACCTCAACATGACACATGTGTAGATTATTATTATATTATGGTTGGAGGGTCAAAAGGGGGGCTAGATAGGAACCGTGGCAGAAGGGTGTTGAAGTTCGATCATGTAGGTACAAAAAGGGGGTTTACCATGGGGACCCCATAAAGGTTCATTTGAAGTCCTTTCGAAGTCCATTTGAGGTCCATGTGAGATCTTTATTTGTATTCTATTGTTTTTCCATAGGTAGGAGGCAAATTTGAAGACCTTAAACATCTAATTTTACATCTATTTGACGTTCAATGATTTTCCAGTAATTTGCAAGGAATAATATACCGTCTATACCTCTATGTTACATGTGGAAATGATTTCAAAAAACGTGTAGAAAAAGTGCAGAATGTATTGGAAATACCAGGCAATTGGGGACCTACACACTTCCAGTTTGCATTTTTGATTTCTGCAATTCTGCAGCTATTTGCAGACCTTCACACTTTTTTCCCCACCTGCCAGGTGAGGGTTGTTTTTTATCTAAGTTGCCTGCTCCTCCTCCTCCTCTCCTCCTCCTCTCGTCGTCCTCCTCCTCTCGTTGTCCTCCTCCTCTCGTTGTCCTCCTCGTCTCGTTGTCCTCCTCGTCCTCCTGCTCAACTGCGACCCGCGATCCACAGTGTTCTCTGCCGGACCTCAACCACGACCATCCACGCCCAGTGTTCCCTGCCGGACCTCAACCGCGACCATCCCCGCCCAGTGTTCCCTGCCGGACCTCAACCACGACCATCCACGCCCAGTGTTCCCTGCCGGACCTCAACCGCGAGTATCCACGCCAAGTGTTCCCTGCCGGACCTTATATAGGAAGATAAAATGTCAGATAGAGTGCCAGAAGATTTGCCAGGTAGAATGCCAGAAAATATGCCAGAAGATATGCCAGATAGATATGCCACAAGATATTCCAGAAGATATGCCAGATAGAATGCCAGATAGAATGCCAGAAGATATGTCAGAATATATGCCAGAAGAAATGCCAGATAGAATGCCAGATAGAATGCCAGAAGATATGTCAGATAGAATGCCAGAAGATATGCCAGATAGAATGCGAGAAGATTTGCCAGATAGAATGCCAGAAGATATGCCAGATAGAATGCCAAATAGAATGTCAGAAGATATGTCAGATAGAATGCCAGAAGATGTGCCAGTAAGAACATGTATAAATGTCATGGTGGGGATCACACGAAGTAACGTAATTTACTGTTTTTTCATGTTCTTACAAAAATGCAATGGACAATATTGAACGCCCCCCCTGCGAATTAAAGAAAAAAATAAATGAAATCCCGTAAAGAATGAGGGGACCTACTAAAATGAAATCTTGCAAATAAGACGCAGTTAAAAAAAAATATATGCTTGCCAACATTTAACAGGACCACCTCCCTCAAAAACGTCTGAATTGTGTCTTGCAATTTGGGTACGCCCCCCCCCTCCTTAAAAGGGTAGGGATTATATATATACATATTTGTGTATATGGGTGGCATGATTTTTCAAACTGCTGCAGGCTGTTTGGGCACAGTTGATGCCTCACTCACTTCCTCCTGGGGCGGCCACAGGGGGTTTAGTTGGTGCTCTTGTGACATCCCTGGTGCATCAGGAGCCGACCTTGCCTCCTTTGACCTGCCAGGACTTTGGTGAGCGATCTGACCTACACTGGCCTTCATTGTGCCTGGGAATCCTTTGTGGGCTGCTTTTAGCTCAACTCTTGGATTTGCTGAGTTTGCTGCGACAGTATTTGACCACTACCATCCGTCAGAAAGCTTTGAACCTGCAGAACGCTTGGGCCTCCAAGCGTCGGCTTGCATGAGCTCAGAGCTACTGGCTGAACTGCGTGAGTTGCGTAGTGAGTTGGCACAGCTTAGCAATCGGGTTTTACTTTTGGAATCTCAAGTCACCAAGACACCAAATCTGCGGTTGAGTCTTCGTTTTTTCTCCCTGGACTGCCGCCACTCGGTCTGGCTTAAGCGCGGCGTGCGCCAGAACTAGTCGCGCCGCAGCGGGAACTGCGACACAGTCCTTTGAACCTTTGAACCTCTGACTGCGGTGAAATGAATTTCCATCTTCTGACCTTCAGAAACAACAAAACACAAAGGCGCAAATCAAGAAAACGGGTGATTCAGAAGAGATGGCAAATGTCTAGATTCAAGCATGAAATTGGCCACATTCATGGCTAGATGGGTAAACCCACCAATGGATGCAAAATGGGCGGGCTCAAAATGAGCCGCCTCACGGCTCACATGTGCAAATTTGTCAGCTGCTTCAACAAGCGCCTGGGTGGCGAGTTTGGCCCCTTGCAGAGCCCCCCATGCTTGCAGGCTTGCTTCCGCCAGTTGCAAATTGACGAACAGCAGGCCCCAACACATGCCCAGAAGTACTGTAAGTCGGCAAAGTTGCCACAACAGTACCCGGAGGCCAGCCTCACAGGGCGCAAGCGCAGCTGCTAGTCACTCGGCCTTTGGCTTCTTGCCTTTGATCGCTTTGGACTTCGCTGTCAATTTGCTCTTTGGTTTTGGCTTTGCTGCGTGCTTGGTCTTTGGCACCTTGGGCCGGGGGGGATTGCTGCCTGGTGTGTCTAGGTCTTCATCGGTTGGCTGGGCAGGTACCTTCTGGCGAGGTTTATCTTCAGTGCTTGTCGCAGCTGTTGTTGCTGCTGCCACTCCACTGCCTGCTGCTTTTCTTGCAAAGCCAAAAGTTGCTTTTGCAGGAGCAGTTGCTGCTCTTGCAAATTGAGCACCATTTGCTCTGCAACTGACTGGTTCTGGTTTGCATTTGGTGTAGGCACAGTCTCGCGAGGTGGGTGTGCTGGCTGCTCTGGTTTGGTGCCACTACCGGCCAAACACTTCATAATGTCGGCAGGGCCACTTTTTGATGCTGGCATTTGGGCTTGGGTAGCTGAGCGACCATTCATCAAAGTGTTGGCGGCACCTTGGACAGCAGCCCAAGTAGCTGACGCCACTCCAGAACACACTCTTTCGAAGGCCGAGGTGACTACTCCGGCGCAAAGGTGGGTGAGGGAGTTCTCACGTGGGGGCTGGCGATATTGGCTGTGCCATGACGCACGGTCATGGTGGCTGGAATGCCATTGCTGGTGGGCAGGTTGCCACCGTCGGTTCTGCCACCCTTTGCCGTAACCGCCTTTGCCCATTTTTTTGGCCGGCGGTGGAAAAGCACGCAAGGCAAACCTTCTTTAGATTTGAGCCCTTTGGCGCGAAAGGTGGACATGCAACGCATTGACATGGCAGGTCACAGCGGCAAAAAGAACATAAGGTTCGGCATGAATTACGGAGTTGGAAGTGAGAAACATGCACAACTATAGCATTGACAAGTTAGTTGCTTGTTATGGAGGTGTTGTTTCCACAGTTGCGGATTGCATGCTGCAGTGTCGCTCTGGCATGCTTGATTGCCTCTGGGAAATACCTGCCGCATTGCCAAACCTCTAAAATTATGCGAAGGGGGTAACCATGCAATGCCCAAATTTGCAGTTCACACTCTACAGCCAGTTTTATATCCTGAGGTGTTAAATCTAAAGACTTCAACCGGGTCAGTCGTCCGTTTAGTACGCCTTTTAATAGGGTTAGATCTACCAAGTCAACACCTTGAAATGGCATGAGTCGAAACTTAGTGGGCTGACCTACTGTGCCATGCAACGCCTGGGACCTCCATGCATGTTCAACACCATGGGCATGCACGCGCAAGTCAAGGCCTTCACACATCAGCCAAACATCAAGCCATGGAGTGCCAAGCTCTGTGGGCTTGGCAGCTTCAAACTGGACTGGCTTACCATAGATCTGGCTCACCATGGCCTCAAGGCAGGAAGAGCACAACACGGAGGACACCATGGCTAAGTCATCGACGTACCGTGTGGCAGCGGCAGTATGTTCAAACTTGAAACCAGGTGGGCACCAGCGTGTGGCCCTGCCACTGGTCAGCCAATCATCTTCACAGAACCCTAGGAAAATTGAAGCGCACTGTTTGGACATAAACCCTCCGATGGGCACACCACGACGCTGCTCGTACACAACAGCGCCAACTTTCACACAAGTTTGCAACAAAGCAACTTCCGCAATGGCAATGATGTCATCCCAACGGTGCAAGCGTGCTCCATGTGACGGACGAAAATTATTTTTGGCAAACCAATAATGCAAGCGCCGACTTTGCTTTGTGACAATCCCAAACGCACCAGAAGCACAATGGAGTTGGCGCACGATGCACTTCAAACGGCGCAAGACTTCGTCTCTGGAGATTTCTTCAAACAGCTGTGCTGCGTCGCCAACCCAAACACACAAAGGATGCTTTTCTTTCTTGCACATGAAGCAACAAGTCAAATATCCATGGTCATGCCTGAGGCGCTTCGTTGCAGCGCGCAAATCAACAACTGCTGAAAACAAGTCTTTGGTTTCAAAGCCGGATGCCCACAACCTGACAACTGCTTCTAAGGCTTTTGCATTAAGCTTATACATCCAACGACAAGGGTGCGCAGACCAACTAACAATCCTGCGACAACATGCATGACCAGCTTTTGCGCATGTCCGACCAACACCAGACTGGAAACACTTAGTTTTTATGTTAATATACATGTAGGCAAGGCACCATCTGCGCCAGCGAGCTGGTGCACAGTAGGACTGCAAATACTGCGGAAGCTTGTCCACATGAGCCTGGCGGTAGTTCTCAAACACGTCCGCAACATTTACAAACCGGCGCACCCAGTGGTCATTGTCTTGGTTGACCATGCGTGCAAACAGCTTCTGGTAGACCTCTGTTGGCATGGTCCAGCACGACGCCTTATCTTTATCTTCTGGTACAGCAACATGACCTTGCGGAACTTTCAAGTGCTCAACGTAAGAAGAGTGGTGGTCAATATCTGCTCGCCGCACACGACGTTGTGAGCGAGCCCAACAATGCAAATGATGTTGCCACAGCGGGCCCACAATGCGAGGAAACTGCTTCAACCAACTGCGCATTGAAGATTCAGCAAGTTTGGCAGCACAGGACCAGGTTTGGAAGAACGGGGTTTTCCAATAGTACTTGCAAAGCTTCATTTGTAGCCCGTCTTTGCTGCTAATGTCCAACTCTCCAGGTGGTTTGTTAAACAAATCAGTTGACAGTGTACCTTTGCAAACAGCAATATGTTTCCAAAGCTTTGTGTAGTTGGGACGCTGGGAACTAACTGCTTGGACTGTCTTTATTATCCAACTTGCCAACAAGGGGGAATGAGTTTTCAACAAGCACAGGCGGATGTCATGCAAACAACTACTGAAAACATGCCGTGGTATGATGGCGGGCCACCGGAGTTTGTGTTTACGTGTTCCTGGCAAACCGTGTTGGCGGAGCCAGCGGTCGCAAACCTTTATACCTTTGGCCCTGGCATACCCACTTGGTTGTTCAAGCAACGCTGACACGCCGACAATGGCTTCTGCGCCAAGAGGCTCATCTCGGAGGTGCCAGCGTTCACGGATGGAGGTCCAGCAGATGTGTTTTTCCCTGCTCAAGTAGCAAGCAAGCAAAGGCCGACACTGTTGAGCACGCAAATCAAGTGGACCGCCTTGCCCTGTCAGGGCCAAACGGTGTTTGCAAACATGCCAGTATGCAGCATCAAACCTCATGCCAAAGGCTTGGTTCAAGTAGTGGGTACCGGCAACAACGTCAGCATTTTGTCTTTCACGCAAAACAAATGTGGAAGCCAAGCGGGTCACCAAAATCAAGTGTTGTTCAGACGACCAATCCGTTCTGAATCGGAATCGTGGGGGAGGTCGCCGAGCACAACGCCGACTTGCTCTACTATGTTTCCGTGGGGCGCATGTCGGTGATTTTGTGGACTGGCTATTTGCTGGCCAATGGCCACTCCGCAGAAAACAATGCTCAAGGGCTCTAATCATGGGCAACTCAGCGACAGCAACCACCCAAACACAAAGGTCACCCAAGTGTGTGTTCTTGAAAGCAAGTGTTTTTTTAGGTACTTGGCATAGCTTGCGGCTCTTTTCACTGACCTGATTTCCTGCAAGTGCTCATAAAACCTTGCCAAGGGGGATCGCATCGCGCATTGCCAAGTTTTTCGGTTACCGTCAGTGCTTCCCAAGTAGCATTGACGAACAGAACAAAGCATGTACAAATTGCCAGTGTTGGCAGGCCAACCAAGCTTGGCAGCAAACTGCACTGACAGGAAGCTAACAACTGCACGGACACCAGAAGCGGACAAAGGACCAGGTTGGAATAATGCAGCTTGTAAGTCTGGGTGTGCACACTGCAAGCGCTTTTTGGCCCAAGCTCTTCGACAACGACCACCGGACGCTTGCCAACGGGTGTGGAGCAACATGCGACTACAACCAATGACATGCACAAGGTGATCAAATTGCAAGCTCGTCTTTCGTTTGGTTTTGGCTTTAGCTGGAAACATCTAGTCAGCCATTGCACGGGTTACTATCCCGAGTTCGTGAGAAAGTGCTTTGGCCAGCTCAATGTCATTACAAGCAATCACACACAACACGGCACAACGGAAAACACATGCATCAACCGTCATGTCAAGCAAGTTTGTGGGCACAGTCATGTGAGCCATGAACAGCTCAGTCACTTGCGCAACTTCATGTTAACACCAAGGAAACTGGGACGCCCATGCATGCAGTGCACGAACCACGCGCTCAATTAGCAAATCTTGGGTCAAATCTCTACATTCCAACAAAGCGTCAAAGTTGTCAGGAAGACAAGGTCGTGAGCTGCGTGCCCTTTTGCTGCACCGTTTACCTTCGTTTTCTGGCACTGTCACAGTGGGTCCAGTCTGTCTTGGCACCAAGCTGGAAACAGAAGCCCAACACCCAAGTACAACGCAAAGTAACCATCTGATATTTCGGGCAATCCACTTGAAGCACTGGCTGAGCGTGCGATCAACACGCCTACGCACCCTTCTGCGCAAAGAACGCCTTGCTGGTCGGCAACCACGGTGCACAGGCATGGTGCCAAATGTTGCCAAAGGATTTACAAAGATGCGAGGCCGAAAAAAGATTAATGTTTTTCCTCTTTTATTTATATGGAAATATGGAAAAGTGTAAGGTTATGGACACTAAGGTTTTCTGCTTAAAGCTTCCTTTCAGGATCTTCTAGCTTGCTCTGGGCCAGGCTGTTAGCCTAGCACTCAGTTCCAAGAGGTTCAAGTCGACAATTGTTTTTTCTATAACTCCGCACGCAAGCAGGGGATGACGTGTGATGCCGTGACCGCAGCTCGCAAGGGGGGTCCGGTCAATCACACGATGGATATCTCAAGTCACCAAGACACCAAATCTGCGGTTGAGTCTTCGTTTTTTCTCCCTGGACTGCCGCCACTCGGTCTGGCTTAAGCGCGGCGTGCGCCAGAACTAGTCGCGCCGCAGCGGGAACTGCGACACAGTCCTTTGAACCTTTGAACCTCTGACTGCGGTGAAATGAATTTCCATCTTCTGACCTTCAGAAACAACAAAACACAAAGGCGCAAATCAAGAAAAAGGGTGATTCAGAAGAGATGGCAAATGTCTAGATTCAAGCATGAAATTGGCCACATTCATGGCTAGATGTGTTGGGCAACCCTCCAATCACTGTGAACTAGTCTGTTGCGGGAGCAGGGGTTTTTGGTGTGAACGGTTCTCCCCCTGGAAGCCCTGTACCGACCAGTTCTGCTCAGCTTCCTGTTTCCACCTTGGCGGGCCGTCACAGGGCATCTGAATACACAGAGGCGGAGCGACGCCAAGCTGCGATTGAGGTTGGGCGCTTCTTGCGCAGGGCTCTCGAAGAAGAGCATCGCGGGGCTAGCTCGCGTGATCGCATCAAGCTCCAATCACGCGTCTACGTGCTCTGCAAGGGACATCTCTGGACGTCTCTACAACCCTGTCAAGATCTTCCTGACAGTTTTGCCGGGCGAACAATCAGAGCCTGATTACGAGTACCCAGTGGGGACGTTAGTTATTCCCCCTGTGGTGGTTGGTGAGCAGGAGATTTCCAGTGTGGCCATTAACCTGCTCTGCGCAGATTAGTGGTGGCAGTTCCTCAAGGCGCTTGACATCGTCAAACCAACCGCCGCCTTCTGCCCCCTGGGGTTTTGTTTACACCAGTGGCAGTGGATCTTTTGTTTGGTGATAGACTTGCAGAGAGCCCCGTGGAACCTCAAAGCAGGCGAGCGTGGATTGGCACTCTTGCTCCTCAGTGCGAGCATCAAGTGGTTTTTCGCTCTGGCG